CATGAATAAACATTCTTTTCACATCTCCATAGGGGTGTTTATATATATATATATATATTTAAGAGCATTACTATAAAGAGCCAGAACCTATGATCTTAGTCTAATTCTGATTATTTTATGCAAGCCATTATCATATATTACTCTTAGAAAGAGAAATGTTTACTTTTGCTCATGAGCCTAGTCTTTAATGGTTGAGCCACCCCGTCAGTCTGAGAAATTGTACTTATAGTTAACATTTCCTCCATAAGATGAAAACGTTGGATGCTCACAAAAGAAGTGTTTGATATGCATCCAAGCAATGCCAAAGCATACACAATATAAAATGACAATCTTGCAGGAAGGTTAGGAATTCAGCTGGGCTCTGGAGCCAAAGCCGTCTAGTGACTGAACTCCAGGGGGTCAGACTTGAGCTAAGCATTGGCCAGATGCTGGCCCTAAATCTCTGTTTCATCACAGGAAAAATTACCATCAACATGTTCAAATAGAAAGAACAATACTGTTGACACGTCCTACAAACACTTTCACATGTTCATTAAGCAAAGTAAATATTCAGCAATTTTTATGGCCTTCTCGTGTATTTAAAGGAACATATGAAGAAAGATGACAAGCTGGCTTTCAGACACCAAAAGACAAAGAAAGCTTAAAATACAGTGTAGGTGACTGACATTTGTTATGATGGAAATTTTAGATTGGCAAAATAAATGACTGGATGTTATGAGTAGGTTTTTCCCACCAGCCTGGTCCCACCGTCGCTCCAACCCCAAATAACACAGAGACTGTATTAGATATTATGCTGTTTGCCAGTTACTAGTTTCTTATCGGTTAGCTCTGTCTTAATTATTAACCCATTTCTATTAATCTAAGTATTTCCACATGGTCTTACCTTACTGGAGAGGGACCCTGGCATTCTGCTCTCTGTGCCCACCATTTTGAATCTCCCCCCTAGTCCTTCCTCTCTCCTCCTAGTCTCCTAGTCCCACATATCTTGCTTTCCTATTGGCCAACAGTGCTTTATTCATTAACCAGTATGAGAAACATATTTACAGAATGACATCTTCCATCAACTGGAATCTAACTTTCTACCTTTAGTTTCTTTTACTAATTGAGGATTTCATAACCTGTCCTTTAATCATCCCCTTCCCTGTACTTTTCTCACATTCATTCTAGCCTCATTTCCTGCCATCCAACTTTGTGTCCTCATTAAATTGTTTTCAAATCTATCAAGTTCAATTCGTGATGCTTATACGCTGCTGGGCATGTAGGCATCTACTGAGGCCTGTTAGACTAGGGCTAAGTCTTCTCTTTCTGGTGGCTATCCTTTAGCAATATCTCCTTAGCTGGAGGTGGGACTTTATACTTACTTTTGTCTGGTTTGAGCTTGTGGAAGTCTTGTGCAGTCTGTCACAACTTCTATGAGTTCATTTATGCAATTGCCCTATTAAGCCAGGAAAACAGTTTCCTAGTAAGTCATCTATCACCTGTGGTACTTATATTCTTTCTTTTTCCTCTTCTGCCGTGGTTCCCGAGGCTTGGGAGGGGTGAGTGATACAGATGGTCCATTGAGGGCAGAACACTCTGAAGTGACTTATTCTCTGCACTACATCAGTTATGGGCATCTGTGCTAATTGCATCTACTGCAAAAAGAAGCTTTGCAAACATCACACACATATAATACACACCATACATAAGATGATAAGTGGTATAGAAAGAAGCTCAATGTCATCCTCCGTCTTCTGCATAAATGTGCGCATCCAATTACATAAGCACACACACATCCACATCTGAACATTTCACATTCATACAACACACAATTTGCACACAAACACATATTTTTGTCAATATCATATATGTATATATGTACACAGTGCACTGTTTATATTCACCCTCCCATATCGTTCTCAACTAGTTCCCTTTCTATTTTATTGGCTTTTGTTCTGATCTATTGCGTTTAATTAAAATTGTTGGTATGAACAGGGAGTTGTTAATGGATCACAGGCAGATAACCAATGGTTACAACACTTAAGAAAATGACATCCCCTTCTCTGGAAACTATTCATTGCCAATAGCTCCTCATCCAGGGACAACATAAACACATTTCCTCATTTATAATGGCCAGTGGAAGGTCTCAGTCTCATGCACATCTATGTAGGTTTCTGTAACAGCTGTGTATTCATGATTGTGATGACCATGAGATATCGGGATGTGTTCCAAAAACTCATCCTCATCCTTCAACTCTTGCAAAGTTTCCAGCCCTCTCTATTGTGATTTTCTATGGGGATTAGCAGGGATAATATAGGTGTCTTATCTAGGGAGACCACCGAACAGTGACATATTCTCGGGACTTTAATCAACTAAGAATCTCTTCATTAACTGCTGCTCTTACAGGAAGAAGCTTCAAGTTCACAGCTGAGAGCTGTGTAGTTTAAGGGCATGGACAGTATGAAGGAAGCTTGGCAACATGTCTGTTTAGCAAAGCATCAGTAGTAGACTGTAAGCTCCTCAGCCATAGGCATTTGACCAATCATGCAACACCAGGCATGTTTCCCCCCTGCTGTGGAATATACATCAAATACAATCAGAAAGTGAATGGTTACCACCCAAACAATCAGGGCATTATTACACCACTGGATTTAGCTTGACGGGCATGTCAGTATTGTTATACAGGTCTCACAGTTGGTTAATATCTATACTGGCTATTTTTGTGTGTCAACATGACACAAGCTAGAGTCATTAGAGAGGAAGGAGCCTCAGTTGAGGTAATACTTTCTTGAGTTCCAGTTGTAGGGCATTTACTCATTTAGTGATCAGTGGGAAAGGGCCCAGCCCACGGTGGGTGGTGCCATCCCTGGACTGTTGTTGGTCCTGGGTTCTATAACAAGGTGGGCTGAGTAGGCTGGAGAAACAAGCCAGTAAACATTACCCCTCCATGGTTCTGCATCAGCTCCCGACTCCAGGATCCTGCCCTGTGTGAGTTCCTGTCCTGACTTCCTTCAGTGATGAACAACAATGCTGAAGTGTAAGCCAAATAAACCCTTTTCTCCCCAACTTGCTTTTTGGTCATGGTGTTTCGTTGCAGCAATGCAAACTGTAACTAAGACAATATCCATGATGCCTTTTGTGCTTCAGTGGCCCATTCAACATCCAAGGCAATATGAATGCTGCCCAGGTGGAAGAACACTCACAGTTCAGCTCCAGACTGATTTCTGTGTATCTAATAAACAAAGCTTGTGATGTCTTCAGCTATAGGGACAAAGTATCAGAAACAATGAAACTACACACCAAAAAGAGTTCAGGTACCTAAAGAGGGCCCCTTGAGCATTCATCACCCTACCAACCAGTATTTGAGGAAACTACTAGAAGCAGATGTGGGACCTGCTCTGATTTGAAGATGTCCCCCAGAATTCATGTGTCCAAACTTAATGGCCAGCTTCATATGCTAATGTATGTGGAGATAGGACCTCCAGGAAGTAATTAGAATTAAGGAGATCATGAGGGAGGGGCCTCAAAGAAGGCATTTGGTTATGTGGAGAAGAGCGGCTTCCAATCACTTTTTTTTTTTTTTTTTTTTAAATCTAAAAATAACGTTGTCCATCAGTGGTCCCTGTTCTCAGGAGTGACTACTATAGGTTGGGTGATTAGATGAAGGAGTATAAGGTAGATATTTGTTTGTATCATTGTGGTCTTCACTTTGGCTTCTAGGATTAGGGTAATTTACAGTATTTCATAATGACAGCAACAACAGCCACCAAAACCCACATAGATGAAATGAGTGAATACATTTAGTTTTCTGGTGTCAACACAAACTGGAGAGGTATTTTCCAACGAGAAAGACAGAGGATGTTAAGAAATACAGGTGAGTTGTTGACATTTGGTGGCTGCCCAGACAGGAAGTGTCGGTTTTCTTTTAGGGTGTGATCCCTGGTAGGTAGATCAAACGTGCTCTGGGGCAGGATCCACACCTAGGAGAATTTGGGCAACAGAAGTTGGATTTTTAATGGGCTAAAGTAAAGGAGAACATAACAATGAATGCGTGACATAGGTTCTTGAAGTAGTTGTGGGGTATGAGCACGGTCAAAGTATATTGTATGAAATTCTGAAATAAAAATATTTCACAAGTAAATGAATGAAATGCAGGTGAGAAATTGACATTTTTGTCTCAAGAGTTCAGGACTGCTTCTGTAGTTCTGTCTATTTCTTGGTTCATCAGCCTACCAGGAAGATTTAGGCAAGACGAAGATGTTTGTTTGGGGAGAGAAATGTTTTGAATTGGAGATGGTGCTAATGTAGGAAGAGCTGTTGGTTTTACTTTATATTCATTTTGACTTTATATTTGCATCTATTTGCATTCATGCTGGCATTGTGTAAAATGGGTGTCGTGAGGAGATTGTGAAGCTACTTCTGTGATTTGATAAAGTGGATGTTTTTGTACTGATTTTCATGTGAGATATGCTTTCCCAACTAGACAAACATTAGCTCAACAAATTGAAACCATTACAGCACAGTCAAATCCTATATTAGTCAGTTATATATATTTTTTAACCTCTCTGTGATTTCTCTGTCTTAGTCACAGTTGTATTTTTTTAAACCTCTCTGAGATCTCCCATTTTTTACATCCTCATGCCATGTTATAATTAATACCTTTCAGAGACCTTCTGATATTCATTTGTGGGCATGGACATTTCATAGGTTGGGTGGAGGCCCTAGGAAGTGAGTAAAACCTCTGGGGAGAAGGGTGAGTAGGAAGAGAGTACATGGTTTCTCTGGGAGCAGCATCTGACAAGATTGTTAGCAACTTTATGGTACACCTTCAGTACACACAAGTATTGACCTGGGCAAGTAGAAACCGGTGAGTGGTAATATTGGGCGAGGGTAAACGTTTGATAAATCTCAGTATTGTATGCTAGTTGCTTTTGGCATGTATGCAGATGTATGGCTGTGTAAAACTGTCTGTGAGATCTCAAGTCTCAGCTTGCTGTTTTCTTCTAGGAAATTGTAGCAGCTAGTTCTTTGTCTTCCCTATGGTGTCAATCCTAACATACTTCATCTATTGACACCAAGCAAGATGAACGGCTCAGAAACAACGACTGACCACAAACACCCGAAGGTTAGTTTTCTATTTCTGGAGTAACTTTTGGTTTAATAATGTTTCCAATAGCCTACTGCCTTTCTTCTTGAGATGGATCTCATGTAGTTCAGGCTAGCCTTAAATTTACTATATTGTGAGGCTAGCCTTATACTCTTGATCCTACTCCCTCTCCCTTCCAGGTGCTGGGAATAATCTAATTTCTCTGAAAGACATTTCTGTTTTGTAAAGTGGGTGTAATAATAACATTAGTTTCTCAGAGTGGTAAGGGTGTTAGGAGATGTTAAGAAAGAGTGCTTGACACACCGATGATGTAGCTCAGCTGATAGGATGCTCACCTAATATGCACAAAGCCTTTTGGTGTATTCAGCACTGGGAGGGGGGGACAAGAAAAACATTTGGCTCAAAGTAAAAAAACTGTTACATTCATTCTTATCTGCTGATGCTGTAATAGTGTAATGTGTATATGCCCATCTATAAATGGTTATACATGTGGGTGAAGCCTTAAATACTGAAAAAGAGTCAAGGAGAGTGTCAGAAGAGGAGCTAGCAGAAGGGCAAGGACAAAATGACATGTGTCACTTGAAAGCCCAGAGAAGAGAAGGCCAAGATGCAAATGAGAGCAGGGATGGGAAAAAGAAGGGAAGAACAGACTCCACTAAGACACACTTGGTTGAAAACATCATAGTGATACCTAATGCTAATAGCTGAAAAAGGAGTGCCTGTCACACGGAAGGACACAATAAAAGCTGGTCACCTTGAATTCGTCAGTCATTATTCTAGTCCGGGTCCTTGGCACTGGAGACATGGCTGCACTGCGGACATTTGGAACTATGGGTGCTTCCTATAGGTTGTGCCTGACTAAAGCAAAGTAGAAAATAGAATGGAGAATGTGATTTGTACTTGCACTGAGCTGAATGGCTGTTGTGATTGTAGGAGATGCATTCTGAATCTCTCTTTCACTCCAATGATAATGTGGTCAGCTGTAAGTTTCATGATGACTTTACATACAAGTTTCATGATGACTTTATGTACACATCATGCCTCCTTAATCGGGGTTGATGTAAAAATGAGATGGAATAACTTGTGAAGGAAAAGAACAGTGATGGCTTCTCTACTCGATTCCCCCTCTTTTGTTCAAGTCTGTTAAATATGTAAGTCATACCAAGAGTCCCGTAACAGCTGTAAGTAGCCACTACCCCGACATGGCTACTGAGTGAACATTTGAAATGTGACATCTCATCTGAGATGTGTTCCCAGGATGAAGTGACACTATGTCCTCCCAAAACCATTATTCCCACGGAATTCCTTCCTAAAATCAGACTAGTAGAGCAATTTTGTGTCTGTGGATTTAGAAAGTCAGAGTTTGGTGAGTTCTGAGGTATGTTCAGTCTCTGGCTGGTAAGATTTCTTTTTTTTTAATTTGCAGTGAAGTTTTTACAAAGGGGAATTTGTTTTTAATTTACTACTCTGTGATCTTACCTTTCATAGTAGTTTGGAAATGTTGAATAAATGAAAACAAAGGGAAGGAATAAAAATTATTGTGTGACAATATTGGATATATTTGGTTTCAAAAATATTAAACTTAACTTCACAATTTATAAAAGTAAGCCTCTTATTTTTAGAAATGTGGTGACAGGATTTTATTTTTATTTCATTTATTTCTTTTGTGTGTGTGTGTGCTCATGCATATGTGTGGATGCAAGTTCGCACATGCCCACATTCACGTGCATGTATATAGAGGTCAGAGGACAACTTTTGGGAGTCTATCCTCTCCTTGTACCTCTTCAGTTCCTACGATGGCAGTCAGGTGACCAGGTTTGGCTGAAAATGCATTTATTTGCTGAGCCATCTTGCTGCTGGGTTAGTGAGAATTTAACTTTGTCTTGTGCTTCTGCTGGGTACTGTGGTTCTGACTGTTGGGAATTCTGCGGTGAAAATGAAAACTGACCTAGCTGAGCTTAGCATTCTTGCAGAGAAGTAGGAGAAAGAGAGGAGGAGGAGAGGAAAGCACATGCAACTAGGAAGATTGAGCCAGGGCAGGAATAGAAGACGAGAGAGAGAGAGAGAGAGAGAGAGAGAGAGAGAGAGAGAGAGAGAGAGAGAGAGAGAGAGAGAGAGAACATAAAAGAAGGAGCCACTATTGGTTTGAAGAGAAAACTGAACCTCACGAAAAGTCTAGAGACCCACAAGACTGCCACAAACTAACAATTTGAGCAGCCGTGGAAAGGCTACCATAAATGCCCTTCCTGGATAGTGAGATCAACAACTAACTTATCCACCATCATGGAACCCCCATCTAGTACCTGTTTGAAACAGGAGCAAACACCCATACCTAAACAGAGTTGAACTAGAATTCAGATGCAGAGGGAGAGGACAAGACCAGGTTGCAGAAACACATAGAGACAGCTTACCTGAACATGGAGGAGCTAAAGGCCCCCCAGACTGATAGCTGGGAAGCCAGCATGGGAATGACTCAGGCCCCCCTGAATATGGGTCTCAGCTAAAAGGACTGAGGAGTCTAAGGGACCTCAGACAGTGGAGCCAGGATGTATCCCTGGTGCACAAAAGGTCCTTGCAAACACATCCCCCCATGGAGGAACACTGCCTTAACCTAGAGACAGGAGAGAAGTCCTAGTCTCTACTTCAAATGACCTGACAGACCTACATGACCCCACCTGGATGGCATTGCCCCACATGTGGAATTGGGGTGGGGGGATGGGAGGGGAGGGTGATCAGGGTGCATGTGAGGGGGCAGAGAGGGTAAGAGGGAGGGAGGGAGAGGTAACTGGGATCGATATGTAAAATAATAAATTAAATAAAAAAATTAAATTAGAAAACCCAGCAGAAGTTAAAGAAAAAAAAACAAAAATTGTGTATTATAATATATACCACGAATATAAGTTTCTATGGATATTAAATAGAACAATGTAATTTAAACATCTCAAAAGGAAAGCCTCTTGAGGCAGACAACACTAGTGCTGAGCTTTGAGAGAGCCTCTTGCCATATGGAGTATTCAGAAAAGTGGAGACGGCCTTCCAGATATTATCTACTGATTCACCCAACATCAAACTCTTGGTCAACAATGAGAAACTCCGTGGGACTGACAGACCCATGAAGGGTTCCTGACTCCTTGCAGTTTGTGTTCTGGTGAAGAAACAGCCAGATGTACCTTGAAGAGCAGGAAAGGTCACTAACCTGCCCTGGTAACTGTCTCCCTACTTTTCTCTCTCCAGGCCATCTGAGTCCACATACAGCCTTGATCTCATAGTTTCCTAGGGTGGATCTGTTCTTTGTTCAAGCTTGGTATTAGGCATCATTCATGTCTGTCACTTTGTTTATTGTTCTCATCATCCTGTTCTGACTCAGACTTGGCATCTGGAAATGAGCATCTGCAATAGCCTCCTGATTGCAACTTTGCCTACAGGCTCTTTAAGCTCCCTTAAGTATATTTTGGGCATGACTGACAAGTTAATCTTGATGAAATGCCATTTAGCTCACGTAGCTTTGCTCTAAAGCTTTTCTTTTCTTTGTGAAGATTTTGTTTAAAAAATTGTTTTTCATTTTATATACCAGCCCCAGCCAGTTCCCCCTGGCTTTCCCCTTCCCACCTCCATGCACTCCTCAGAGGGAGTAAGGCCTTCGTTGGGGAGTCTAAAGTCTGCCATACCAAGTTGAGGCAGGACCAAGTCCCTCCCTCTGGCATCTATCCACCTTGGTATATTTCTGCTTTTATCCTGCATTGCCCCAGCATGGTAGACATCCTTGTCCCTCAAAGCTGACCAGTCTGTCTCTGTGGGAAGTGTGAGAACATATTAACAGGAGCATAGGCTCTGGAGTCATCAGACCAGATTCAAGTCTCAGCTCTGCCATTAAACTAGCCATGGGAACTTTTTCCTGAATTTATTATTTCAATATCTCTGAACAGCAGGAGGCAAACAGAACTTTGTGTTCCTTCAAGTTGGACATGTAAGACACAGCACATGATACATTTTCTACCTGCCCACTCCACAGGGAGTTCTTAGTGCTCAACCTCTGTTTAAATAAGCTTTAAACACCACCTATTAGTGATGAATAAATGTGCATCTGGGAACTTCTGGATGTCTTCTGCATCCCTAATCTCAGTTAGCCATTTTCTTAATTATTATTGGGGAGTAGTCCAACTACTGAACAGTGGGACTATTGTCTGGACATACTGGAAACCCAGTGGTGGAGCTGGATGAAAGGTGTAGATACTATTCTGTGTAGGATCTCTGAGGTCCCTTAATGTGAGCACTGTAGATGCCTGGAGTGATTTGAAAATCTACTAGATCTTTCTAGGTCATCTATTTATATTGCACAGCTGGTTCTATGATCCATCATTAAGCCATGCAATTGCTGGCAAATCACTTGTCTTTTGCATTCTTAATTAAATGTCTATTGTTTATTAATTTGTTGCAATCTGCTTTGTCTTTGAAGTAGAGTGAAAAGGGATCAAAGCTGAGGATATAGAGTCATCTAGTCACATCTTGGTTCTTCTCATATTGCTAGTCATGCCTCATGAGGGTCTCCATAGAGTTAAATCTTCACAGAGGTGGAAGTGTTAAAATTGCATACAGTTTTCCAGAATGTACCCAAAAGTGTTGCAATGGGCATCACTGCATAGAAATCCTTTTGTAGGTTCCCAAATAAAAATAGAATGAACAATGAAATTTAAATGTTAAATAATGCACAATATATGGACCACACTTACCCTAATTATTAATTGCTTTCATGGAGCATAAAATGCCACCAGGTTTCCTAGCTCTGTTGTTGCTAAGTTCACTCTGTCTTCAGGTGTTGACTTAAATTCCTATGCAGATGTCACATTTATCCAAGTACATCTGTAGGAATGTTTCAGATCTCTATATAGGTATTCTTTTTTTTTCTTATTTTACATATGGTTTCCAGTGCCCTCTCCCTCTCTCCCTCCCTTTCTCCCTCCCATATCCTCAGACCACCCTCCCCTCCCATCTCTCCCACTCTCAGGGAGGGTGGGGCT